ATCTACTCACATTTCTGTTTTGCAACTCAATGTAGATCACAATACTATTGTGCATGTATAAGTAGTACAACTTAGATTCTGAATGTTACTATTTACATAATGATTGTCTAGAATAAGCTTCTTTTAAAGGTGTTTTTCAAAACTTTATTTTTGCAGTAGAAATACTCATCACTCCCTCTAAACACACACACTTTAAACAAAATGTGTAATATATAAAACAGATATCATATATAGTATATAAATATAAAACAAATAAATGGGAAGAAGAAAAAACAGACTATTTGGGAGTAAAGTCAGTGGGAAGGAGATGGGAAACAAATGAATAAACAGTGTGCTCTAATGGTAGGGTCTAAAAGCCTCTCTGTCCTTACTCTGCACAATCTCTGGAGTTTTCCTGAAAAATTCTCTACCTTTTTGATGCAAAAGTTGAAAAATACTCCATTATATTGTAACTAACAGTGATTATTAAAACAAAAAACTGCCGAGCAACGGTGGTGGTTCATACTTGTAATCCCAGCTACTCAGGAGGCTGAGATCCAGAGGTCTCAGTTTGGAGCCAGCCTGGGCAGAAAGTCTGTGAGGCTCTATGTCCAAAATAAAAAGCAAAAATCTAGGCTAGAGGCATGGCTCAAATGGTAGACTGCCAACTAAGCAAGCCAAGCAAATGAAAAGCCCTGTGTTCAAACCCCAGTACTACAAAAAAAAAAAAATAAATAAAAACTTCTATAGAGCTCATTTAAACCTGTATTGAGCTAACTAGAGTATTTAATTAAGCAAATAATTTCTATTCTTTATCAAGTTGCTATAAAATCTGAAATGCCATCAAACTTATTAAAATATTAAGAAAATAAAAATATTTGGCTAAATTAAATATGTCATTAAATTTTTAGTTTTAGTGGTGAGTGTCTATGTGTGTGTAAGGTGTATGTATGTGTGCTGGGTGCTAGCACATAGGCCTGAGCACTGTCCCAGCTTTTTCGCTAGACTGGTGCTCTACCTCCTGAGCTAAAGCTCAACTTCCAGCTGTTTGGTGTCTAACTGAAGAATCTCAAGGACATTTGTGCCTGGGCTTCCTTTGAACTGTGATCCTTAGATCTAACTAAGCCTCCCAAGTAACTAGACTTATTGGCATATGCTACTGGCTCCCAGATATATTTTAGTTATTTTTCAATGTATTAATCCTTAAGTTGTACCAAAGTAGAATATATTCAACCACATAAAACTTTGAATGAGAAGAAAAAATAATTCTCTAAAAGAATTTTTTAAAAAGAGATCAGGCTGATGAATGATCAATTATGTAAATACCCATATTTTACCATCAATTTATAGTGACTTAAAATGGAACAGGAAAATCTGCCATAATTGAGATTTAGGCTACTAGAATATGCAGTCAAAAGATGGCACTGTGAAGCAGGCAGAATGCAAACTTGTTTCTAGTTTGATAAGCTGTCTATCTAATCTATCAATATTCATTCAATTTAAAGACAATATGATGGCATTTCAGATTACCACAAGAGAAGTAGATGGGCTGGGAAGGTGGCTCAATGGTAGAGCGCTTGCCTTGCATGCATGAGGCCCTGGGTTCGATTCCTCAGCACCACATAAGCAAAAAGACAAAAGCTGGAAGTGGCGCTGTGGCTCAGGTGGTAGAGCGCTAGCCTTGAGCTGAAGAGCTGAGGGACAGTGCCCAGGCCCAGAGTTCAGGCCCCACGACCGGACCCCCCCCCAAAAAAAAGAGTAGAGGTCAAAGGACTTTTCTACACATTTGCTAATGATGTTGCTATATTACTCCTTTCTGTTTGTGTAATTACCAATATTTTTCAATTGATTTGTGTATTTGTTTAATATCTATTCCTCTTCCTCCTGTTAGAATAGTCACTTCATGAGGATGGAGAGCTACTTTGTTTACCAACACTACCAGTAGTGCCTAGCAAACTGAAAAGGTCTGTTAAGCATGAGACGGGAAAAGACAAGGTGAGAAGAAGGGAAAGAGAAGAAGAAAGGTAGGAAGGAAGGAAGGAAGAAGGGAGGGAGGGAGGGAGAGAGAGGGAAAAATTAACAAACCAACTTCTGCATCACCATGGTTCCTCTTTCTTTATGAGCCTCATTAATGAATATTTTGATTTTCTGAGTGCTTGGAAGTTAAGTAATGATGGCAATCGGATACCAGCTAGGTTCCATGAAAGCAGGCACTGAGCAATAAGTACTACAGGTAAGTACAGAACAAAGAGATACATTTGACACTCCTACATACATAATAGTATTTCCCAAGAAATAGCTTAGAAGAGTTCTCTACAAAATACAACTTCTATAAAATTATGCAACTTTTATAAAATTAATACTCCATTCTCTTGTAAGTCTAAAATAGCTACTATAACTAGATGAAAAGTTTGTAGATATAACTGGAGACTAAGCCGTGCACCGGTGGCTCATGCCTGTAATCTTAGCTACTCAGTAGGCTGAGATCTGAGGAACATGGTTCAAAGACAGCCTGGGCAGGAAAGTCAGTGAGACTCTTATTGCCAGTTAACCACTAGAAAACTGGAAGTGGTGCTGTGGATCTAGTGGTAGAGTGTTCTCCTTGTGCTGAAGAGCGAAGGGAGAGCACACAGGCCCAGAGTTCAAGCCCATAACTAGAGACTAGATGAATTCTTTGTGTAAAATAAAACAGTACTTCATTTCAAAATTACTGATAGATGATCTGTTATAGCTTCTGCTAACAGCTTATGCTGTCTCTCTTGATGGATAACTGTAAGACCACATATATTCATATTTGTGTCTTTCAAAAATATTTGTCATTAGGAATGTAATTATTTTATTTATTTTTTTATTTATTTTGGTCTGTCATGGGGCCTGAACTCTGGGCCTGAGTGCTGTCCCTGAGCTATTCAGCTCAAGGCTAGCACTCTACCACTTGAGCCACAGAGCCACTTCCAGCTTTTTCTGCTTATGTGGTGCTGAGGAATTGAACTCAGGGCCTCATGCATGCAAGGCAAGCACTCTACCACTAAGCCACCTTCCCAGCCCCAGGAATGTCATTATTAAGTCACGAATATTTCAATAGCAATGAAATAGAAGTAACCATAGTTACTTTTGTTTACCATATGCTGTCATGGTTTAAATTTTGACATATAATAACTAATCCTCCCAATAACTGTACAAATATATATATAACTTTTATGTAGAAATATCTTTAAATCTTACTACTTTTGACTGATCTTATATGCTATTTGATGAAGCAACTCAAGCCATGCCTTACTAAGACACTAGCTGGCTTCTATTATCTGATGTAGATAGAGGTGTGCCAAAGTCAGCTTATGCTAGCTTGTGAGAGCTATACATATAGCTTCACAGCTCTGTATTCAATGACATCATGTTGTTAACTTGATACTGGCTGTGATGAGTGTGTTTTGTACCACAGAAACTTGAAAATTCGTGGCCTTCTCCAAAAATATGACAAATCTGCTTGCTAAATATCCACTCATGTTATCACTGATATAAGGAAACGTATAATCTGCTAATTTTGTCTTGCCCTTTTCGGGCTCTCATAGGTCATGTTTGTGTCCCTTACTTGGATAAGCCCAGTCATCATCTGCACCTTTGGAAACCTGGAAAAGGCAACCTAGTCTCCCAATTGTTTTATTAGGTCTAGAGTAGATTCTGTCCTTATTCATTTCTATAATAGTAAACATCATCACTTTTTAATCACTTCAACTTATCCAAAGACATCATTGACTAGTAGATTCATCATTACTCCACATATTATTAAGAAGGAAAAATACTGCCAACTAAATTGATATACTAAGGACTGGAAGATGCCTCATGATACAAAAAAATACCTAAAGCTAAAAAAATGCACATTAAAAATTTATGGGAAAAGCAACCTTGCTTACTATTGTTTTCTCATCTCATCTCAGACTTTTAGTTCAGCATTTCCTTTAGCCTTAATATGCAACTCCTAGATCTCTCACCTTGATACTTTCTCCAATTAATATATTCATAAATATCTTTACCTGTACAGACTATAAATAAAATGGATTATATATGTAATAGGAAAAATAATCCTGAAAAAGAAATGTAAAGCAATAAAGAAAATGATAAAGCATCAGAATTCAGTTGTGTAAGAGGAAGAAGCAAAAGTAGGAGGTTTCCCTGATGAGCAGAGACCTGTGGATAGAGAAAGGGAAAAAAGGCTTAGAGGCAAATGGGCTGAAGCAGTACTTATTACTACAAAATCTATTTTAATTTTATAGTGTAGATTGGTAATCAGGATAAATACTCATATCTTCCCTAGAGACTTTTCACATTCTTTGAAAAGACACGAATGTGGCCTAACATGAATAGCAAGTATCTTTCAACAATTCACTTTTTTTTTTACTAATAGCATTACCATAAGACATAAATATACTGTCTGTCTTCAAAAACCACTATATTCAAAAATATTTTTGAGATGTGTCAACTTTTGTTTTAAATACGTTTTTATTATAAAAACACTGTACAGAAGGGTAATAGTTACACGAGCAAGGTAATGAATACATTTCCTATCAAGCATTGTTACCTCCTCCTTTGTTTTCCCCTACCCTCCCTTCCCTCCCATTTCCATAACTATACTCCCCCGTCCCCCCTCCCCGCTTAAATTGTTTTTTCAACATAGTACCTTACTGTTTTTCAACACAGTATCTTGTACATCTCATTGTTACAATGAGTCAACCTGTATCTCTATGTAAGCATTTTGTTTTTTCCCTTCCCTTCCCCTCCTCAAGCTAGAGAAGTGTATATACAAGATGCAGAGCACCGACATCAAATACAGTAAAAACAGGGGTTATGCTGTGGGGGAGGAACATACAAAGAAACAAAAAAACCACATGGTACATTATAATACTTTAGGAACAATAGCAAAAAAGAAAAAAACCACTTGTGTCCCTACCTTGGGGTTCATTTCACAAGTTGTATCAACTTTTATAACTACTCTTAAAACATTTGAAAATGATTCTACTTACTCTCCATCCACTTCTGGTCTTTTACACACACAATGGAACTTTCCACCAAAATCTATGTAAAGATCATCCTCCACAATATGAAAGATTCGTCCAATGACTATTTTATCCTTGACAGGTCCCATCTGTGTGAGCGGAGAACGTCTCAACATGGATGCAAAGGATTCCCCATTTTTAGAAGACTCCTAAATATGAAGAGATATTTATATACATAAAATTCAACAAAAAGACATAATATGGTAAGTTTAGTAAAGTACAATAAAGATGAAAAAATTTTAAATCAGTTCTCTGTGCATTTATATTTTCTATCAATACTAAAAGAATGTAAACATGTGGATCAGTTATGAGCCCAAATAAGCAGTTCATACCTGTAATCCTAGTTATTTGATTGGGAGGATTGCAGTTCTAATTCAATCAAGCAGAAAAATCTATGAGAACTATCTCAACAGAGATGTGACATATACCTGTCATTCCAGCTACAGTGGGAAGCAATGAAATAAGAAATAAGCTTAGGTACCACCTGACAGAAAGTGAGACCCTATCTCAAATATAACCAGGACAAAAAAGGCCTGGTGCCGGGTGCCAATGGCTCACACCTGTAATCCTAGCTACTCAGGAGGCTGAGATCTGAGGATCACAGTTCAAAGACAGCCTGGGCAGGAAAGTCCGTGAGACTCTTATCTCTAATAAACCACTAGAAAACCAGAAGTGGCGCTGTAGCTCAAGCAGTAGAACGCTGGCCTTGAGCTGAAGAGTGCAGGGACAGCACCCAAGCCCACAGTTGAAGCCCATGTGACTGACAAAAAAAAAAAAAAAGGGCCTGGAAATATAGTTCAGTAGTAGAGCTTCCACCTAGCAAGTATGAGGCTCTGATTTCAAATCCTATTACCACACACACAAAAATGTTTCCTAACATAAAATTCCAAAGGAAAAAATAGCTTCTTTAACCATTTTGAGCTGCTTGATTTCTAAGTCTTTTTGCAGGCTGAATATGCATTAGGTATAGCTAGACATATAATATCATCTGATTACTCCTTTCTTGTATTTTTTCTAAATATGATTTTTAAAAACACACAAGTATACATTTGTCCTTCTACTCATCTGTAATGTGTATATTGTGCAGTATGTGCACAATTTGGCACAAACTATAGGAAGTACTAAGTTTTTAATTAGAGAGCTAACTACACAAATATTAACAATTTAATCTCACTATCTTCACTCTGTGTTTAGAGTGAATTTTCCAGTTATTACTTAATGTAGATGGTTACAAATTCAATAATGTATTTACTTTTTAAATTAAACAACTATATTTATGACTTAATTTCATAGCATGTATTACTCTGAAGATTACAAAAGCCAGGCATATGGGAGCTTGATACACAGAAGAATGTGTTTTCAGTCTAACAGGTGCAGCTACTACTTAGCTCGAGCTGTAACTTAAGTCAAGTAGCTGCCACTGGTTGCAATCTTCCCAGATGTAAAAAGTGTGTGTGTGTGTGTGTGTATGAGTATACACACACATAAATAAAATTACATAAATATAATATTTGTGTAATTCATAGTTACCCTTATTTATGTTTATATATAAATATATACTATCACATATAATAAATCTGTATTATATTTTAAATATTATGCATATTTACATACATTTATAGATATACATTTCCAGTTTTTAAACTAAAATTGGATCCATACCAGACAAGTTTATGACTTCTGCTTTAGGAAAAAGCAATTCAGGACATCTAGTTGATGGCAAGTCCTTCAAGTGCTGGAGTGAGAGTATGCATTACAGTGGTTGAAACACTGAGAAGGAACTTAGCACAGAAGGAGGGTCCATTTAAGCCAAAGACAAGTCAGTTGATGTAGATGCTAACTAGAGCTGAAAGGATAGGCAGGAATATAGGCCATGAGCTTAGCACTAGTTTATAACTCCACCAAGTATAGTATTATAGCTCCTTGAATAAATATCTTTAAGATAGTTCTTTCTTGCAAAGACCAAGAAAAAAAATGCATTCTACAAGGTCAACCCAGTCACAACTATAACTGACCTCAGAGGTACTGTAGAGAGCAATACTAAATAAAGCTAAGCCAGGAGGGACAGAGTATCTACTGTGCCCCTCAGCTGGGAGCCACTGGGACCATCTTACAGCAACTGCCACAAAGGCAGTGAAGAGCAGCACTCAAGAGAAAAGGAAAGCATCAACATGAAGGCCTTGTCTTGCTTGCAGCAGGGACAACCTTGCCCAGCTTTCCTCACTTTCATAATATTCCACTTCCGTAGTTGACAACTACCAGGTTTCCTCTCCTGCTTCTTTTTGTAAACAGCTTCACTTGAAGCTCAAAGTTCCATTAAAATAACCTCAGATGCAGGAAGATCTAGTAGTTAACATTCTTGAAGATAATTCACCAAAACTTCACTTATTCCTAAAATAACATAGTATCCTTTAGAACAGTGAAGGAATAATTGGGTTAGGATTAGTGTAATAGAGGTATTTCCCCTTTTGTTTTAGGTAATTAAGTAGTTTTGACTATTTAAAAAGGATTCTCTTGAGAATTTTAGTAAATCTACTGTGCAATGTTGGATATCATAAACTTTGTAAAACTAATTAGCTAAACATTGGCAGTTCATACTTAGCTACTTGGGAAGCTGACACCTGAAGGATCACGGATTAAGGCTGGCCTGAATATCCATGAGATTTCTACTCAATCAAGAACTGGGTAAGGCGATATATGTGCCATCCCAGCAATAGAGGAGGATGAGAACAAGATCTCATCTCAATGCAAAAACTTCACAAGACTCCATCTCAAAGGAAGATGGTCATGGTGGTATGCACTTAATATTTCAGCTACAACAGGAAGTCAAATTACACATCACAATCTAAATGTATACCAGTGCAAAAGTCAAGATACTAAACCCAAATAACCAGTGCTAACAGGTGCTGGAAGCATGGCTCAGATGTGCCTGCTTTGCAAGTGGGAGCCCTAAGCTCAAACCCCCTAGTACCTTCAAATAAAATAAATTTTAAAGCAACTTTTCAATCAAGTGGCAAGAAACACTGCTTTCACTCACTTCACATGCAACAGAAGTGCATTTTCAGAAAGTGAAATGACTATTACAAGCATCAGACCTGACCCCTGGGTAGATTCTAAATGTGCTCTTAAATTTTACCTTCATTAATGTAAGAATGATTTTTGGACTATATCAAACAAAGTCCTCTCTCAAAAATCATACTCTAGCCAGGCTCCGGTGGCTCACGCCTGTAATCCTAGCTACTCAGGAGGCTGAGATCTGAGGATTGCGGTTCAAAGCCAGCCCAGGCAGGAAAGTCCGTGAAACTCTTATCTCCAATAAGCCACCAGAAAACCGGAAGTGGTGCTGTAGCTCAAGTGTAGAGTGCTAGCCTTGAGCTGAAGAGCTGAGGGACAGGGCTCAGGCCCAGAGTTCAGGCCCCACAATTGACAAAAAAACAAACAAACAAAAAAAAATCATACTCTGGAATCACCTCTGAATTCACAGAGTGTAAGTCAAGCTGAACTTATTTACTTATTCAGTGACTTTTTAAAATAATAAGTGCAGAAACTCCTACAGCACGTGTTGTCAACAGGGATCCTTGTTTATGAAGTGTCTCAACCAAAGCTTGTAAGCACCTTGCATGCTGATGCAGTCTGCAAAGATTACAGGCACACTGTCACCTGCTGGGTCTGCATCCAGAGCTCAGTGCCTACTCCTGCCTTTGGAAAGTAGGACCATAAAGCTCATAGACAGAGGTGCTATAGGCAAGCAAGTAATTTGGAGTTGACTTTCTCTTAAGAGTTGGTTGTAGAGCTCAGAATTCCTGTTTTTGTAATATACTATTTCCAACCTTTAAGGAGCAAAAGATGAACAGACAGGAATGCTGAAAGTAACAAGATTAAAGATACAGAAAACAATACAACTTTCAGTCATTCATTCATCAAGCATATAGTTGTGCTCATCATATATCAGTAAAATACATTAATCAGAGGGGAACAGGGAGTTAACCAACATAACAACAGAGCTTAGAGTCCAAAATCTGCTGAAAGTAATTGCTACTCACACAGGTTCTGAAGGGTCTTGTGTTCTAGGCTAAGTTGGTTAAAACTCCTATAAGCAATGGACAGTCAAAGTATTGGTTTCTTATCAAGAGGGTGAAAGTATTTGTTCTTGGTAACAGTATACAAGATATGAACTAGAGGGAAATAAAGAAAAAAATAGGAAAAGGGTCAACTATTTAAATGTTCCTCCAATCAGCTAGGACGGAGATTATAAAGGTCTACACTCAAGCTGTGCCCATTGGAAAACTTAAGAAAGGATATAGTGATGTTCACCACACAGTACAATAAGAACCTGATGCCCAGCTGGCTACAGAACTGAGGGAAACTGTCAGGATAAGAGGGAAGACCAGTGCAGTATAGGTAAGGGAGTAAATCTAATATTGTAAATATTAGATTTATTATACAAACCTAAATAAAATTTCAGGGAACACTGATAATTTAGTAGCTTAAGAAAACACTATTTTTCTGTATATTTACATATATATTTAGTGATATTGTAAAGACATAAATCACTAAAGAGAAATGCACTAAATATTAACTGTAGTAATTTCTATATAAAATTATTTTCTTCTTTATATCTCATGACTGAAAAACTATAATAAAAAGAATATATATTACTTTTAAATTTGACATACACATTAAGCAAATAAACCTATTAAAACTATTGTTCATATGAGAACACTTAATATAGAGATTGAAATCAGCGGTTATTAGAGTTAAAACAAAAATAAGTCTGGGTGCAATGGCCAGTGGGCTCTAATCTTAGCTACTTTGGAATGGAGTTTGCGAGGATCACAATCCAAGACCAGCCCTAACAAAAAGTAGTGAGATTCCATTTCAACAAATAAGCTGGGCGAAGCAGGGATGGTGTAGTGATTCATTCTGAATCTAAGCTACACAAGGAATGATAAGTAAGAAGATTGTTGTCTGAGGCCCGCCCTTGAAGAATTCACAAAATCCTGTGGAAGGGGTTAGAGATTTAGCTCAGTGAAAGAGCACATGCCTGGCAAGTGCAAGGCCCTGAGTTCAGTCCTTAACTCTGAAGAAAAAAAAAAAAAGAAGAAGAAGAAGAAGGAAAAAAACCTCTGGGGATAAATAACCTAGATGC